GTGGGTGCAAAGGAGGTTAATGCTAATAGCATGTCTTGTGCCGAAACAGGCGTGCAAAGTAAGTAGTCTTACAATGCGGGCCCTCGAGGGCATTCTTCGGACAGCGGTCTGTATCGCCGTCAGTGGTCCTGTCTTGACGTTGGTTTCTCACTTATGATCCTTGTCTTACCTGAAGTAACTCCTAGCAGCAGAGGCCTAAGGGTCGACATGCCACTTACCTCCGTTGTGAAATCCTTTTCACCGAAACCCTCTCCCCGTCCAGCTGAATCTAATCCAAAAATTCAGATATGTTTATAAACGTTAATGTAACTTTGTGGATTCCTACAAAAAAAATTAGCATTTCCGCTTTGTATTCGGAAGGTTCAGGATTCAAATCGCGGCCCGGAGACCGGTTATTTTGACTTAGGGTTGTCGTGGTTTTTATCAGTATCTCCATTAGTAACTTAAATTAGGCCATGGTCGCATCCTTGTCACATCCTTTCCGATTCATTATTCATTTTCATTCGGCGTTGTATAGTCTGAGCTACTGAAAGGCGTCTTTAAATAAACTATCTATGAATAAAATACAGACATGTATGAATTTAATTATTCTTTGTGTCAGTGAATTCTTATCTCAGTCAGTATATTGACTGGCTTCAAGCTGATGTTCGAATCGCCCAAAGACCAGACTTCTCTGTTCGTGCTACATGCCTTTCCTGTCTTATTTGATTTGGATCAAACTGATAATACAAGTTTAAGAGGATAGATTCAGTACTTAAAAGCTGAATAAGGTTACACATTTTTCTAGCCACCTCACAGAGTTCTGCACAGTGGTTTGCCTTCAGTGATGTGTTTACTTTCGAACACTTTTATGTTCAAAGCAAAGTGATGAAGCAGTGAGATGAATATAATAGAAATAAATCTGAAGCCCGCATCATCCAAGCGACAGGTGCAACGGTGTTTTGAAATGATACTGGTTGCAATTATCGAGAAAGCTACAGGACGACATGATGACATAACCCGTAGACCTTGTCATGAGAAGCAAGCAGCTGGCTCTAGCTTTAAAATACTTTTCGACGACGAATTTATATTCGTGAATATGATTACCCAGTGTTTCTGTCGACTCATGTTATGTACAAATATTCGCCCAGTAGGGTAAGGCGGTGAGCTCGAAGAAGGCTGTCTTCTGGGTTGTAGTGCCCTGATGATGGGGGTAGAGAGGACTTTTGAAACGATGGTAAACTCCTACACAGACTACACGGCGTTACAACTCTGAAGAGAGTCATTTTCTTACATATTCTCTCCATTACCCTACCCTGAGCCATGGTGACTTCTGGCTTTGAGTCCGTAGTCATGGGTAGGAATTTTTTCATCGCCACCACGTCCAAGACTAGCTCTGGGGCCCATATAGTCTCCTGTCCATGGGGTATTAGGGGTATTTACCTCGTTTAGGCTTCATGTAAAGACAATGACAACGAGTTTTAAGGGGTCCATCCTGTTGTGTGTTGAACATCAAGTTGACAGACTTTGTACACGACAATTTTTTGTTATAGTCGCATTGTTTATTAAGATGTACTACATGTTTCGAACTTAACTGGTAATATTCAGGTGGTTTTTAAGAGCTCGAAATTAATATATGTGTCTGTTAATTTGTGTATATATTTTCTGTTGCTGACTTCGTCACGTAATGGACTGTTTCTTAAATGGTGTTTGTAGTATGAATGTTTCTTGAATGTTTTACGTTTACTTGTATAATCACTAATAAATTAGCGTTTTAAGTAAATCATCTTCATCAAGCTGATTGATTCGTTTCAAGGAAACGTCTTCACTGGTTGCTCTTTACACGACTGCTACAGTCTTTGGCAGTCTTGAATTATCTTCAGGCTGTACGTTCTTATGTCATAGAAATTCGAATTAGGAGAAAAAACATCAGCTTGAAAGAGAAATGAAAAACTGTTTATCGGTCGCCCACTTTGCCTCTGAACCGTTGTAGTGACCAAGAATGGTGAAGCTTCTAGTGCCCCATCGAAGTGTCTGTCCAACTGACTCATTCCTTGGGACTAGCTGGCCGGGTTCTGACTTCCACTGCAGAATACCATTATGGGTCGAAGGCGTTCTCGTATTTTGTGTGTTGTAATTGCAGTACGTGTTATGTACTGCAAATAACGAATGAAATAATGCAAATAACTTTGTTCCGCAAAATGCTTCATGCTAATTAAATAATTCCAATAATCAGAGCTCTTCCTTGAGAAGTTGGTAGGCTCTTAGTTGATTAATAAATTCCCTGCATTTTATGAAACTCTGAACGTTTATTATCATGTTTACAAGAGCTTACTACTGACTCCTATCTTGGACCAGTTTAATCTGTATCACACTCATGTTCGTATTTTTTTAAGATCCATTCTAATGTTACTCTTTTCTACACTTTGGTCTTTAAAGTGTCCTTTTTCCTCACGTTTTGTGACTAAAAGGATTAGTATTAAACGTGATTCATTTTAAATAATCCACGCACAATTTTGAAGCCTGTTGTTGGAAATTTTAGTACACATAAAGGGGATTTGTCATGTAGAGTTTTTTTTTTTTACAGAGTTGTACCAGATGCAGTTCTGACCAGTTTTCACCGTTCACTTGTTTAGAATGATTGAGAAAAGTTAGCGAATCGTGAATGCTCTTACAAATCGCTTAGTGTGAGCTGGCGTGTTCTTAAGGTCTCGTCAGATTTTGTACAATGCTATTTACTTTGCTATATATACCCTCCTGTACCTGTGGGCGATACAAAGGGAACTAGGGATAGTTTACTTAGGATGCATCCCAGGGCTTATATAAAAAGGTCGACTGCAGACAAAGGATACTACTTAGATCAGCTTTCAATTTGTAAGTTAGGAGATGTGACGGAGGCAGAGGGAAGCAGTTTATCCGGTGCACAGGCACTAACAGATAATATAATGCTGTAATACGTCTTTAAAATACAAAAACCGAATCTATATTTTTCCAGACTCTGTGTGTCAGAAATGGAAGTCGGTTCATGAGTGGATATTTTTCAGTGATTATGAAAAATTTAAATATTTGAGGGTAACACTAACAATGCTGTTGATTGGTTAGAATTTCTGCTCTGTATTCGACTGGTCCCGGTGTCAAGTCCTTACTGAGTTTCTTCGCGGTTTTTCCCCTTTTAGTTATGCAGGCCAATGCCGGGATACTCAACGACCTAAAAAAAAATCAATATACAACCTGGATTTTGTCAGTTTTTATAATGTCACAGTTTTTCTCACTACGATAACTGTGAATATCTTTGAAGTACGTTGTGCTCTGTGGTGTAGAATGTTCTCGGCACCAGAATTTTCTTTGAAGGAAACTCTGTGACGTATACATTATTTCCTAGAAATTAAATGCCTCAGTTGTAAATATCATTTAGCCTGGAATGTATTCTGCAGTAGAATTTCAGTTCCCATCTCTCCGCGTTTGTCCTTGGCCCCATCATCCGCTCCAATCACGGAGAATAAAACTGGAGTGGGTGGCTGCAGCCAGTCGCTGGATGTTGAAACACCCGACCTGATACATCTTGAAGGCTCGGTCGGTAACAGACCTTCCTTCACTCGCTGTGATTGCGTCTCGCTTTCCACCTGGCTGTTCTACCACACCCTCCTCCTTTCCTGTATAAATCGACTCGGAACTAATGACGCGTCTGATTTCCAGCATGTTAAGACATTTGGCAGGTTTCGCCGTGTTCATGTTCAATACAAAGGATATTTTTTTATCTGTATGTCGTTCGTCTAACGTTTTATTTTAAATTGTGAAAGAGACGTAAGTAATAAGTACCACTGAGGAGTTTTAAGTTCTTACGTCGACGGATATGAAAACTGCTGCCATCATCAGGGCAGAATGCGGCCTGTGAAATGTGAAGGTAAACGTCTACGAGATTACGGGGTGAAATATGTCCCAGAAGACGTATTCAACAAGTGTAAAATTTTCTTTTATTCTGTTATTATCGATGAGATTTTTATATTAACAATTAAGATTATATCTGTGGTTTTTATCTCATACGTGATCGGTGATATCTCAGTCAGTGTGGTGTCGATTTCCGTGTGTGAAAAAGAAAGGTCTTTACTGCGGTGTGAACATAAATTGGCCTCCCCTGGGTTGTTACTCCGTGTCAGTGTTTCGGAAGAAGAAAGTGTCTCCATCTTCAGAGTTGGAAACAAAACCAGTCCCGCGGAAAATGGCTCTTCCCTATTGTTCCAGACATGGACTCATCCCCATTTCTCATCTCATTGCTCTAGTTCAGTGGTATTCAACCTGGGGTACGCGAAGACATCTTAGGGGGTACGTGAAATTTAAAAAAAAATTATTTTATGGTAAACACTGAATAATCAGTAATGTAATTTATTTAATTTATTTTAGATGTAGATTATATACTATGTATAACTTGAATTATACACCAACAACTTTGGGGGTACAAAGTTGAAGAGAAATTATATCTGGGGGTACGCGAACAAAAAAAGTTGAATACCACTGATCTAGTTTGCCTAATCATCAGCATTATCCTATATAAACCGTCCACTTCGACTTCTTATTTCAGCCCTGAAGATGGAGGCTCTTTGTTCCTTCGAAGCACTATTTCTCTCACTCTTATTCGTTTGACGCAACGATTGTTAACGAGTGATGAACTTGTATTTTTTTTTGTTGATTGCCCGATGATTATTAAATCACGAATTCATGGAAATGCTTTCTTAACTAAGTCACAAAATTATGAATGCATCAGGCATGAATAACTTTCCATATTGGCAATACCAAGCTTTTATGACTGTAGATATTGTTACGCCGAGAATAACGAAAGCTAACGCGGCAGGGTCCTTCCGTATTTAGCCAGTGCTCAGCATTTTTTGTACTGAATGCCTTATATGTGTAGATGCAATCAAAGCGTGAGGTAGCCTGAGATACCGGCTTGGCGGTA